TGTTTTACTTCACAGATTATTGCTTTGTATTTACAAGTAATTTTGATTCTCATTCTTATATAATCTTTTCATAATAGAAACTAACTAGAATTTTCTAGGCAGAAAAAAGTTGATAACAGCAGGCTCATTTTTCTCCCATCTCATGCACACAGCAGTTAGACTGTTCAGAAAGACTGCTCTGCGAGGAATTTATATTTAAGTTCTCTTTCCTGCAGCTTCCATTCCTGTCACTCACCCATCATCCCAGGAGATCCTGGCTTTAATGTTCCACAGATGACGTTCTTTCTGCAAACACCTGGACTGAAAGTGGTTCCAGTGTACAGGCATACATATGGACACTAGGATGGGGAGCACACTGCTACGAGGAACTCAACTTCCCATAATTAAAAGGCTACCATGCTTTTAAGATCACAAAATGTAATTTTTAAAAAGTGGGCCAGTGTAGGTGAATAGCTGCATAGGGGCACAGACAGCAGACAGCATTTTACTGTCATTGTACTCAATTCTGTGGTTACACTGCAGGTCCCAAACATTTCAACAGAGAACCATAGGAAGCCACATATCCTGAGAGTCCTCAGTTACCACAGCACAACCGAGCTATACTTCTTGGGACAATATGAGAACAGGAGGCACTGCAAGCAGCTCATGGTTACTGTATAGGAGCCATGTGCAAATGAAACCAGTTGCCCTTCATCCCTGGTCAACTATTAGGACAACAATTAGGAAAATTGTGGATGAGGAATGAATTCATTTCCAGAACGAAGGAATGGAAGGACAGCAGTGGTTGCTCTCTGCAGATTCACCCCTTACACAATATAAAACACACAACCTGAAGTTTTCCAGATGGGGTAATGAAGGTTCAGAAAGTACCATATTAGAGCCAATTGTTAAAATCACTCTCAGTATATTTCAGCTATTGGTTACTTGTCAGGGATAATAAATGCCAGGGCTTAGGAAGCAATGAATTAAAAAACAAAACAAAACAAAAAAAAAACATTGTTAAAATTGCTTCAGGGAGCTAGTTATAGTAATATATACATATATACACATATTATCCCTCCTTCTACTCTTTATATGATTTGTAAACAAAACCAAAAGGGGGAGGGGACAACAACAGCAAGAGTAAACTGATAGACACAAAGTAGCAACAGATCAAAATTACAACTAGAAAGTTGTGGGCCAGCAAGATGGCTCTGTCTATAAAGTCACTTGCCATAAAAGCCGATTGATTCTAGCTGGCTCCCCAGGATTCCTTTAAGTTGCCTTCTGACTTCCACACTCACGTCACAACATACACACCCATACACACTATGAATGCACATACAACAACAACAAGTCTAGAAAGTTTTACACATAATTTCCACCACAGAAAACAAAAGTTCAAAACCAAGAGTATAGTAAGGTGTCAGATTTCACTTGACCCATGCTCTGAGCTAACAGGCTTTCTAAGCCAGGCCTATGACACTTGACCTGTGCCAAAACGAGCACTTCTGGGAAGTGACCTGCATGGAGGCACCTTTTACAACTACAGGTGGGAATACAATCCGCAGTAACCTGCATAGAAGCACCTTTTACAACTACAGGTGGGAATACAATCCGCAGTCTTTCTTGTATCTAACCACCAAAACTGATTAAATACATTTTAAAGGAACAGGAAACAGCATCTTTTCTTCCATGTTAGCTAACTCGAGGTTAGACTTCAACTGGCAGCAAAAGACAGCCGAGATAGGGGCTCAATATTGGTTGTGGTTCTATAGACATCCAAAATCAAAATGGAAACTATGCGTTGTAAGGAGCAGCTCCACTGTGCAAATCTGTCCTTCCAGTTCCCATGATGAGCCCGGCACAGCTTCAGTAATGGCCTATATACTCCACAGGAACTGTGAGGCTGCCTCAGCTAGTCCCTCTTCTTCCTATCCTAACCTGTCAAAGGTTAAGGAATTTGTCAAGTTACTATTAAATGACCCAAGTGAGATTCAAACCCAAGTCACTGCGTCTGTGGTCTTGATCATTATGCCACGACCAAAATCAAAACAACAAAATTAATCACCCTGAGGAAAAATTAATGTCAAATTGAAGGTCTGTAAGCAGTGAAAGAATAAGGCTCACTACTCATTTGATAGTTTTTTTTTCATGACACATTCTCTTTGCTTAGATTTGATAATTTATTTTTTTAAAAAGTCAATCAATTTAAGGCTAAAGAGGGTAATAAAAATCCTCCAGCAGCTGGTTAGGGTTTTAAGCAACCATGTCCTAACAGCATGTGATAGCTCTATTACACAATGTGAAAAATCTTCACTCCAATTAGTATCTCAATCAAGTCAGGCTGGGGTATGAAGGCCTCTATTATTTGCTATCAGAACCACTCTAAAGGGAAATGGAGAGAGGGTGACAAAAAAGGGAAGGTCCAAATGAATCTAATGTCATTCAGACGTGCAAACAGACGCCCACCCAGAGCACCGACTTCAGACTATCTGAGGAACAGTTAAGGAGAACTCAGCACAGGTGCTAACATTTTAAATCATTTCTTTATAAAGAAAGCACTCGTGTGTCTGTTTGTTTAAATGCCTTGCGACTGGTAACTGCAAAAAACTGTCCACTGTGGGGACTATGAGAAGATACAGTTTTCACATGAACAGTCTCTACAGAAAAAGAAGGTGTATAGAGCACAGCAATTCTCTTAACCAGAGTTCAACAAGAAACATTGTGATTTGATCATAATCATATTTCATGTCTTCGATCTTTGAGTCTCTGTCCTTTTCATCTCATAGGGTTAGCCAAAATACTGACTACAACGTAACCAAAGTACTTACTACAATGTAAACAAAGACCAGGAAAGTAATATGCCTGTACATGAATTCACATTGCTTCTAGCCCAGCAGTTCTCAAACTGGGTATGCGAACCCTTTGGGGGCCAGTCGACCCTTTCACAGGGGTCACATATCATATATCCTGCATATCAGACAGTCACATTATGGTTCACAGCAGTAGCAAAATTACAGTTTGGAAGTAGCAACAAAATAATTTTATGGTCGGGGGGTTCCCACAACATGAGGAACTGTGTTAAAGGGTCGCGGCATTTGGAAGGCTGAGATCCGCTGCTCTGCTTGAACACGTTAGAGATGTTAGAAAGTACAAAGACCATCTTGCCTACTAAAAATCACTCGGACTTTTAGAGAACAACCAGACCCCCTCTAATAACTTCTACCTACCAACTGGAGTCAATGACACCGCCCCCCCCCCATCATTTGAGGTTTGTATCCCATAATAATCAAACTAAAGAGTTTTACATTTCTCGTTTTATTTTTACAAAACATTTCCTTTCTGCCTCTACCAGTGATTATTTTTAATGCTTTTGCCGGCACACGACACAACTGGCTGGAAGAAACTTCATTCCCCGGCGGAGCAGAGTGAGGACCTGAGTGAGCCAGATTCACAAAAACCCCCTCACACTGCTTACTGCTTTTGGGGGTGTCTTCGCCCTGACTGGACCACCTGGCCACTTCGTTCAGACTCAGAAACAGACACGATGCCAGTCATTCTGTACACACCAAATGAAGGCAGCAATTGAATACACACCCCAGAAGACACTGGGTACAGCGCATAACTCCTCCTAACAGGGGTACTCTGTAAATACTACACATGCCACTAGGTACTGTGGGAACCCAACTCTACCAGAAACCAGGTACCGTGTGTGTACACAGTGTAAACCACCGGTCACGCAAAGGATACTCTGTAACACTCTATGACACTCGACACCCCATACAAAGCTACTGCACACACAATGCTAGATACTATGTACACATCTTAGCCCTCCCGGGATACAGTGCACACACATTTCAGCTGTGCAGCGGCACAATCCAATGTTGATACAGATTAGAGGACACTTGGATGCTGCGTGCATACTGACGGTGACACTGAGTGCTACTCACAGACCACACAGGACCGACCGACCGACCCGTCAGTACCACGGACACACGGCCAACACTAAGTACCACAGACACCAACGGCAAAGTCCCGCGGACACACCGCAGAGCACTCGCGGCTCGGCCCAGGAAGAAAAAAAAGGCATGAGCGGAGACAGCCCAAGTGAAAGTTCGGGCCACAACCCCACGGGCAGCGACTCCATCAGCTTCTCTCTCCAGCTCTGCAGGGGCACAAGGCGGCTGATCCCGCAGGACGGCCGGGAGGACCTGTTGAGGCAACTGAAGCCTCGCAAGCCGATCGCCTGCAGCCTCCGGGAGACCGGCGGGCACTGGTCTCGGGGACCGCCGCTTCCATCGCTCCCCTCCGCCCGCCACACGTTCCACGCAAAGGGCCCTCGGGCCTGGCCAGGCAGGAGGCGCGGGGACCCGGCGGGAGGAGCTCACAAGACTCCGCGGCTTCGCGGCGCCAGCAGGCCGCGCGCGGTTCTCCGCGGCCTTCACCCGAGCCGGCTCCTCACGGCTGCCCGAGGCAAGAGGCGCCGGACAGAGGGGAGCGCCCAGCCCGCAGGCCTCTCCGGCCTGGGGCAGTCCCTGAAGCCACTATCAGCCGCCGCCCGCCACAGAGGCCGCGGCCCCGGCAGCCGCCACGGTGCAGGCCACGCCACCGCCACCGACGCCTCCGCCCGCCCCGCCGCCCCGCCGCCGCCGCCGAGCTTTCCCCACCATTATGCTCCGCTCCGCCGTCGCCGCCGCCGCCGCTCCCGGCCCTCCCTCCGGAGCCGCCTCCTTCCCGCCGCCCGGCGCCTCTCGGGCCTCAGCCGGCGACGGGCGCGGGGGGCGGGGGGGACGCAGGCCGCCGCCTCCTCCTCCCCGCCATCTCCTCCCTCCTCCCCGGCTCCCCCCGCTGGCTCGGCGCGGAGGGCTCGGGGCTCGAGGGGCGCCATGTTGGCGGCGGCTTTCACCACAGAAAATGCCTCAGCGCGCGCCGGGGCGAAGCCTGGCGAGGCGGCCGGGGCGTCGCGCGCCGGCTGGAGGCCTGGACCGCCGCGCGCACTCGCTCGCTCGCTCACTCACCGCGTCTCCTCAGCCCGACGGCGGCGAGGGGCCTGCGGGACTGCAGAGGACGCCCGGAGGGGGAAAGTTGACGTTCCCCACTAAGCGGTGTTTCACATGGTGCGGGCGCGGCGGCCGGCCGGGCTCGCAGCCTCCTCGGAGTTCATTGTGTGCTCTCGAGTGTTTCCCCGCGCGGGGCCGGGCCGGGCAAGCGGGGCCTGGGCCGAGCCGCGCACGGGGGGCTCTAGCGGCGGGCGCGGGACTTGCGCGGCCCGCGCTGCCTCCCCGCCCCGAGGCCGGGGAAGCCCGCCGCGCCCGCTCCTACCTTCCCTCGACCTGTCTTGGGCGCCTCTCTGCGAAATCGGTTTCAGCATATTCTGAGGGGTCCACACACGAACTCCATATCAACACACACGTGCAAGCTACGTACGTGCAGGCGCGCTGGAGCCGAGCACCGAGACACGAGGGCAGCATTGTTAGGATCCTGCCAAGCCCGGTGGGCTGCGATGCGGCTCGCGGGGTGGACCCGCTCCACACTTTGCTTGGTTCCTAATGGCTCCGTGTTGGACAAGCACTCGCCCGTGTACTGACCCGAGTGGGTAAGACAGTCTCCCTCTTTCTTCCAATCCTGTGCTCAAAAAAAATTGCAAGACACCCAACTTCCCCGTCCCGTAGATTCACTAATGGAACATTTAGAAAGAATGGACCACCTATTATCAATCTGGCTAGAACATTACAAATTGCTGTGAGAAGCAGGTTATCTTTTTTAGTGAGTAATTCTAGATCTAATCAGAGGAGATCCCTTAAGCTATGTGGCTTTAAAAAGTCTTGGGGCGGGGGTGGGGGGTGGGGGGAGGATCGCAGAGATAAAAGCACACACGGATGTCATACATTGTCCTGTAATAACCTTTGCCTGCAAGGAGTTTAAAAGGGAAACCCTACTCGCCAAAATTGCTTAGCCATATTCTCAACGGCTATATGCACCTGAAAAATCACTGGAGACTACCCTAGAAATCTGGGGTTCTTAGATAAATTATCCATCTGTTTACAGAGCTGACCTCTAAGAACTTAGAAATGAATGGCATTGAGTGGGCCTTTGAAGTACAGCAGATATGGTCTTTCAAACCGTTAACAGCCCTGGCACTGATAGCCCAATCTCCGAGGGTAGTGTTTGGGTGTTTTGTTGTTTGTTTTTGTTTCTGGCTTCCCCCCCCCACACACACACACACTTCAAAGATGATGAGATATTTGAATTCATTCAACTAATAAAATAAGGTATGACTGGGCAGCAAGACTGCTCAGCGGGTAGCGGCACTCACCACCCTACAGTCCGAGTTCAATCACAAAGACCTGCCCATATGGTGGAATGAGAGTAATTGCCATTAAAATTAGACAGAAGGAAATGATGCCATATCTGACTGGAATGATGGACTGGGAACCACCTGTTTAAGTGAATCACCTTTTAAAAAAGGTTTTATTTTAGTTATAGAGGAATGCCTATTTCTCTATTTTTATGTATTTTACAGAGGCTACTTGGTGTGTGTGTGTGTGTGTGTGTGTGTGTGTGTGTGTGTGTGTGTGAATCATAACCTTTTAGGAAAAAAAAGGACTGCATATTCCCCATCACCACCCCAGTTGTACTGAAGAGAAATCACTTCTCTTTAATGTGCACCTCTCTTAGATATCACGTCCCTGAGATTTCCTGTTCCTTTGCTCTGGTTTCCCTGCCCAGCAGCATCGTTAACCGCGTTTGCCTGTCAGCTGCCTGAGTATGAGCTTGGGTCAGAAGGCGGGTGACCAGAGGTTGGGAGAAGGGCTGGAAGACCAAAAGAGTGAAGTTGTGACATCCCCTGGATTTGTATACTGGGTTGAGAAGAAGGCAAGTTTGAGGTTCTGAGAGGAGAAATCGGGGTCTGGAGGAATGATGGGCTGAGGGATGATTTACATCCATCCAGATGTGCCCCACAGACCCCCACACAGCCCTCCTCATCTTCCTTGGTCCCAACCAATAGACTCTATGCCTCATAATATCCAGTCAGCAGATGACTTTTTCACATTCTACTTAGAGAAAAGTTAGAGAAATACAGAAGGCAGAGACTATTCAAGCAATTAAAAGTGAAAATTTTGTCTGTTGAAGAATTATATTCTTACCTTATATAATACTCTTTTTTTAAAAAAAAAAGCCCAAATGACTTAAGTCATATAAAAACTGAAATATTTTCCAAAGCAAGGAAAAACATAGAGGTGAATATTTGTGAGATTTTTGAGTGGAGAAAAAATATCCAAAATTCTCCGGGAATGGATCGGGGTGTGTGTGTGTGTGTGTGTGTGTGTGTATGTGTGTGTGAAACTCACATGCACAACTAGACTAAGAAATTAGACTCTATACAAGTGTATAAAATCATGTCAAAGAGATGTGGCTTCTAAAATATGTCCGCGAGAAGTTCCTTCCTAGGCACCTTCTCCTGGTTTCTGTCATAGTGAAGTTCAGTATGCATGTCTTGGGACTCAAGAAGAGTCATATTCACTGCCACAGACAGGTGAAGCCTCTTGCGACATTCTGAGAGTTCTTGGCTTGCCAACTGCTTAGTGTAGTCATAGTTCAGCCCCCTGCCCCTGAAGTGCAGTGTTTTCTGTTTTGCTTTTACTTCTATTCTTGGTTTTATATCTCTATGTTGCATTAAGGATGAATGACGTAAAAACTGAGTCATGTAGATATCCCTCCTCCAAAAGTGTGACTTACAGTGTAGCACTGTCTGTGTAGAGCCCCGGGAACACAGAAGAAAAGCCCATTGTAGAGAAATCAGTTAACAGAAAGCATCAGGTTGTGGTAAGGTTACTAATGCAAAACGTCATTCTCCACAAAGAAACCTTCCTGGAGCTCAGATCTTCCCTGTCTCTTTCTCCAAACCACAAGCTCGTTTTTCATGCTACATCTACACACATCTAGGTACACAGTACCTGTTAAATGAAAAACGCTGCAGGGAAAGTTGGTAGTCTCATTTGAAAGCAAAATGCTGTTAAGATATAGTTTTAATAACATAATGCCAGTGGCTCTGTCATTTAGGTATTACACTTTATTTCTTTGGTGTGTGTGTGTGTGTGTGTGTGTGTGTGAGAGAGAGAGAGAGAGAGAGAGAGAGAGAGAGAGAGAGAGAGAGATGCATGAAGCTAAGTGTGAGGTGTGCTAACTCATGCTGGGCAGAGACTGACTTCAGATTATCTTACTCAATTGCTTCTCTACCATGTGTTATGAGACAGAAACTCTGTCTCAAACTTGGAGTTTACTTTCAGCTAGGTAGGCTGACCATTAGCCCCTGGGAGCCATGGCTCTGCCCCCGCCCTCAGTACTAGACTTAGAGACACATGCTGCTACATTCAGTTGTTACCTGGGAGCTGGGGATCTGAACTCAGATCCTCATTGCTTGCACAGAAAGCACTTAACCCACTGAGCCACCTTTGCTGCCTATAGTTTTTCTTAATGCATAGTAATTAAAATTCCATGGCAAATGGAATTTGTTCTGTATAGGTATACTGTGACTATTATTTCTACAATAGTAGTTAGGGAGTCAATGAACTAAGGACTGTTAAATACATAACACTAGGCAAGTTGTGCCCTATCACATCCTAGAGTCAAAAAGACAAGACACTTGAGGACACAGGCTGCTCCCTGAATGTCTCAGGTATATTTCCAACTCCTTGTGCTTCCTTTCCTGTCTAACAGTCAGGTCCAGAGCAGATTTCTGATGCCCTAACTTCAGGCTAATTGCTATAGGAGAAGAGCTCAAACCATTCCAGCCCTTATGCACACCTTTAGGGATGCCTGTCAAAACTCCACTCTCAGCAGGCATCACCTTGGACTCGTTACATAAGTTTTGGCAAGTAGCAACATCTCCCCATGTCAACTCCCTCTGTAATTGAAGGAGGGTTACTAATTGCATGTTATGTTCCCATTAGCACAGACTTTTATGAACTTCAGGGTTCCACAATCCCTGGTCCTTCAGCTCCTACTGTCTGCTCTGATTGGTGGTGAGGGTGGTGATGGTGTGTAAGTGGATGTGGGTGTGGGTACTGGATCACATGTATGAACTAATGTATATGTAGAAGCCAGCACTCAATTTTGGGTGCCATTCTTCAGGCAGAGTACAATACAATTGTTTTGTTTTGTTTTTAAGACAGTGTCTCTCACTGGCCTGGAACTCAACAAGTAGACTCTGCTGGCTGGCCAGCAAACCCCAGGCATCTGCCTGTCTCTGCCTCCCCAGAGCTGTGATTGCAAGCTTGTGCCACCATATTAATTTTTTTATATTGGTTCTGGGGCTCAAAATCATGTCCTCCTGCTTATATGGCAAGCACTTTACCAACGGGGCAATCTCCAGCCATCTGCTCTATTCCGCTAGACTCTCCTGAGGTCCTTGGTAACATGTTATTCTCTGGAGTTGTCACATGTTCTGTGCTCTCTTCTCTTTCTCTTCGGCTGCCTTCTCTCTTTTTCCCCCTTTCCCGTGTTGTTGCTGGAGTCGAAAACTCCCGTCATATGTGATGCGCCTCACCCTCTGCCCCAGTGCTGTGGGGCTGGCCTTTCTGTGCTATCACCTGGTGTAACGTAGGTGCTCATGCAGAGACCCAGTCTTGCTTTCCAACTTCCTGCTGCTGTTCCGTTCTTGTCAAACAGCCAGGACTAGAAGGGATTTTGTGTGCCTGTCACAGCCACATCCCAGGAAACTCTTGTCTTCATATTACGAAAGAGGAAGACATACTTCAAAGAATTCTCAAGGCAGACAAAAGGCAGAATGCCTTTACCCTAGGTGTCCAAAATGTTGAGTCACCAAAGTCTCTCAGAGACTCTTCAAGGACAGAGCCTGTCAGGGCTTGGGGAGATGACTCCAGTGGTAGAGTGCATGGCGTGCAAGCAGGAGGACTTGAGATTAGAGTCCTGGGATCCACATAAACGTAACCCCGCACTGAGGAGACAGAGACAAGAAGCCCCTCAGAGCTCATCAGCCAGCCAGTCTACCCAATCACTGGCCCTGGGTTCAATGAGAGAGCCTATGTGAAGAGACAAATCAAATGGAGCATGATAGAGGAAGCTGCCTCGACCTCTGGCTTCCACATGCACCTACACACACACACACACACACACACACACAGAGCTGGGATCAAGGTGGGGGCTTTGTGGATGTTAGACAAGCACTCCGCCACCCAAATGCGGGCAGCATTTCTAGCCCACACTTACTTTCAGTTCTCTGGACTTCATCCTTACTCTCGTGGGTCATGTTCCAGTGTGTTTCAATGTACAGTCAGCCTTCGAGTAACACTGTAAGTGAGAAATTAAGACTGAGTTTCACCATTCCAGAGGGAGAGCAGAAATACAATCTAAAACTGA